CAGGAACAGCGTGGTGAGTAGGGCCCGAGAGGTGATCGTCCCCCTGTACTGGGCACTGGTGAGGCCTCACCTCGAGTACTGTGGCCAGTTCTGGGGTCCTTACCACAAAAAAGACATTGAGGTGCTGGAGCGGGTCCAGAGAAGGGCAACGAAGCTGATGAGGGGTCTGGAGAGTAAGTCTTAAGAGGAGAGGCTGAGGGAGCTGGGGTTATTCAGTCTGGAGAAGAGGAGGCTGAGGGGAGACCTTATCACTCTCTACAACTACCTGAAGGGGGGGGTGTAGAGAAGTGGGGGTCGGTCTTGTCTCCCAAGTCACAGGAGATAGGACAAGGGGAAATGGCCTCAAGTTGCACCAGGGGAGGTTTAGATTGGATATTAGGAAACATTTCTTCACCTAGAGGGTTATCCAGCATTGAAATAGGCTGCCCAGGGAAGTGGTTGAGGCACCATTCCCGGAGGTGTTCAAAAGACAGGTTGACATGGTCCTCAGGAATACGGTTTAGTGATTTTTATTTCTTATTTATTTTTTTTGTCAGAGTTAGGTTGATGGTTGGACTAGATGATCTGTAAGATTCCTTCCAACCTGGACGATTCTATGATTCTATGACAATCCAAAGCAACAAGACTCGTTTCACAGCTGTTGTATCTCTGTCCACACCCCACTCATAACACCAGTTAGCAGCGGGGACAGTTTCCTCATCGCTGCTACAGTGAAGCAATCAAAGGATTAAAAATTCAGGGCAGGCTTTCCGGGAGAAGATTGCTTTGATGTGGTACCCAGCGCCTGGCTAGCTGTCATAGAATCATAGAATGGTTAGGGTTGGAAGGGACCTCAAAGATCATTGAGTTCCATGGGCAGGGACACCTCCCACTAGAGCAGGTTGCTCAAGGCCCCATCCAGCCTGGCCTTGAACACTTCCAGGGATGGGGCATCCACAACTTCCCTGGACAACCTGTTCCAGTGTCTCACCACCCTCATAGTAAAAAACAGCAGGACTGACTGACAGTGTGAGTGACAGTGTTTTGGCAGCCTGGCAGGCGCTCTCAGCTCTAGCATCCCTTGGTGGGCACAGCACCACATTACCTGGGATGGGCTGGAATCACGGGGTGGCTCCGGCTCACCGAGGAACCAGTGCGAGGTGGATCCATCCGTCTCTGAACAAAAAATTGCCACAAATGTCCCTGCCGCGAAGGAGTATGAAGTTACTCCTACCTAGAGCTGTCAAAACCTGTTATAATAAAATTGTAGAGGGAAGAGAGGGGCTGGGTTGCAATTGCTGAGTGGGTTCCACCTGGCAGCATTGTAGTAGCACCCTGTTAGAAGTGGCTTAAAGCAGCACTTACGAGGTGGTAAATGAGCACTAAAGCAGTTAAGTATTCCCACCTGATTAAGTATGAACATTAAGTTATAAAACAAACGAATGGCATAAACTCAGCAGGTCCAAATAACATGGTTCACTAGAAAATTACTCACAACATGCCCAGTCCAGCCATGAAACCATTGCCCCGTTCGCAGAGCACTGCTGCGATGGGCTGCCCAAAGGGGAAACGCGCCGGCAGCCAGAAGGAAAATCTCAAGACACTGCTCACAGGTCCAGCAGGACACGACAGCAGAAAAAGGTGACCGTGAAAGGAATTTCCTCACAGGAACGTGGCATTACATTCTGGACGAATTCCCAATTAATTGCAATTTTGCTATGAGAATCCTCTTTCAATTATATAAACAGCAGTTACCAGCAATAACAAAACATAATGTCTGACTTCAGCACATGCCAAATGTTTAGACAGTTTAGTGGACACCTGTCCCAATATTTGGTTTAGCTGTCACTTGGTAGGACTGTTAGAGATTTTATTTTTCATCTCTGTTGATTCTGAAATATTTGCCATTATGATGCCCTAAGCAAAGCTATTGATTGCTCACTCTTGTCTACTTTATATTGCTAAAGCTAGATTCCAGCTCATAAAAACATGCTGAGATCACTGAAGATAGAGTTAATTACCACTTAAAACCTTGAATCTAAACAAACAGCCCCCAAACCCTTATGAAGCAGCCTAATTTTATTACAAAGCATACCTAGAGGCCTACATTTGCTGTCAGACAAGCTGTAAGACTTCCTCTAGGAATTGCTTTACATCTGAGCTAATGATTTATAACACAAAGTAGTAACAGTAATATCGTAAACAGATAATCCAAGTGATAAACACAGAGAACATTTTCCTGATTTGAAACGCACTAGGAAATAGGCTGTTCTGAAGCTGCATATAGATATTCCGTAAGTAAAAATATATTTTGTGATTTTTTTTTTTTTCAAATTTAGGACTTAACTAAAAATATCCAAATTAAAATATTTTTATTCTTTATTTAAAACATTTATCTATAGACTTATTGAAACTTGTTCATCTACAGATAAAAACACAAAATCCCTAGCTCCCAACGTTTCTGACTGCAATCTGACATCTAACTTCTCTTAGTAATCTCACTCTTGTGAGGCATCTACAATAGCATGTGTTTTCCCTCTATAAAACAGGCCTCAAATAAAGCCACATTAACTAATAGGTAGCGATACTAATGAACTAAGGAGTAAAATGACAAGTGTAACCTGAATTATTGAGACTTCATGTTTGATTTCTTTGTAGAGCAAGAGTTTTATCAAGAATGAAACTGATTCTTACTCTGTATTGTACTTCATCCATTGCCAAAACTGAATATTGTATTAATGCTATTTTAAAACTGTGGACCACAGAGCAAGCAACAAGATACAGAATTTATATGAAGTAGAGTCATTTTATGCCTTTGGCAGTTACCTTCACATTTAAATGCAGAATTATGTAAGGCTGGCATTTGGATGCAAAAAAGTTCTCTTACCACTTCTCCAAACAACAGGGATGTTTCTGAAATTATAGTAGACTTGCTGGCTGGTTTGCCACCTGCAGGGACACCGAACACAGAGAGGAAGGGCCATCACGCATCTGTGACGGACCTGCACGCTGCTGAGTTGAAAAACCAAGACTGTACAAAGAAGGCCATTTACTACAGTTACACAGTATGCTCTCTAGTTATCATAGCATTGCACAAATAATAAAAAAGGTAGTTTCAAAACTAATTCACTAGTCTTATCATGCGCATATTTGTGACTTCAATGAGTCAAGCAGGTATTTCATTCCCCACTTACCGGAAAAAAGGCAAAAGGAAAGAAAAAAACAAAGTTCAACCAACCTTCTTCCAGCTTCTTAACTCTCAGCTTCCCACAAGCCCACCTGAGGGGCTCCACAGGTGAACTCTAACTCAGGAATGGTTTCAAAAAGTGGTTCCAGTGTGACCTTTCTTTTTTCCTCTGCTTTGTCTTCAGTCACTTACTTCCTTTGTTCTTCAGATTCCCTGAGCTCTAAGGAGAGTTCTCACGTGGCTTATTCACTGCTACCCCTAGACCTCTTTGTCCTGCATTCAGGTTTTGTGTCAATGGTCTCCACATTTCTTCTTTAGTAATTTTTGTTTTTAAAATATTTCCCTTTCTTCAGCAGGATTTGCAGTCTCAGTCTTGTATAAGCAGATCAGAGCGGAGTTTCCACACTGTCATTATACAAGGTAGGCCAGAAGCAACATGACTGTGCTTGTGCAGCAGACAAAGTTCAACCAACCTTCTTCCAGCTTCTTAACTCTCAGCTTCCCACAAGCCCACCTGAGGGGCTCCACAGGTGAACTCTAACTCAGGAATGGTTTCAAAAAGTGGTTCCAGTGTGACCTTTCTTTTTTCCTCTGCTTTGTCTTCAGTCACTTACTTCCTTTGTTCTTCAGATTCCCTGAGCTCTAAGGAGAGTTCTCACGTGGCTTATTCACTGCTACCCCTAGACCTCTTTGTCCTGCAATCAGGTTTTGTGTCAATGGTCTCCACATTTCTTCTTTAGTAATTTTTGTTTTTAAAATATTTCCCTTTCTTCAGCAGGATTTGCAGTCTCAGTCTTGTATAAGCAGATCAGAGCGGAGTTTCCACACTGTCATTATACAAGCTAGGCCAGAAGCAACACGACTGTGCTTGTACAGCAGATACTGAACTTTACAAGTACTTAGCAGTTGACAGATGTGAATTATGACACTAGTTCAGCAACTGTCACTGAGCAATAATTAGGATTTCTTTCTAAATTAAACCTTTTAAAGAAAATAATACCATCTATCAAGGAAATCATAACCTGCTCAAGATGCTAAGACATTCCTTTGTTATCTGATAAGCAGAAACCCTGCCATTCCAATATTATTAAATACATTTTCCACTGTTACTCCTTACCTTAAAACAAGAGGGAAAGGACAGTATGTCCTACAAAGTCCTGAAAACCTACACCTACATGTGTAGACTTCCGCAGTAACTCACCAGAAAGGAGCGGAGTTTCCACACTGTCATTATACAAGCTAGGCCAGAAGCAACACGACTGTGCTTGTACAGCAGATACTGAACTTTACAAGTACTTAGCAGTTGACAGATGTGAATTATGACACTAGTTCAGCAACTGTCACTGAGCAATAATTAGGATTTCTTTCTAAATTAAACCTTTTAAAGAAAATAATACCATCTATCAAGGAAATCATAACCTGCTCAAGATGCTAAGACATTCCTTTGTTATCTGATAAGCAGAAACCCTGCCATTCCAATATTATTAAATACATTTTCCACTGTTACTCCTTACCTTAAAACAAGAGGGAAAGGACAGTATGTCCTACAAAGTCCTGAAAACCTACACCTACATGTGTAGACTTCCGCAGTAACTCACCAGAAAGTTACTCTTCAAACAACATTAATTTTGAGTGTTCTCAGTATGAGAAAGAATGAAGGACTAGGTGTGACTAAGAAAGGGTAATATGTAGTATTACTCCATAGTAACATGGAGAGAAAGCTGTCAGGTTAGGAAAGTAAGGGTAATATGTAGTATTACTCCATAGTACAATGGAGAGGAAGCTGTCAGGTTAGGAAAGAACTGATAAGCAGAAACTCTGCCATTCCAATATTATTAAATACATTTTCCACTGTTACTCCTTACCTTAAAACAAGAGGGAAAGGACAGTATGTCCTACAAAGTCCTGAAAACCTACACCTACATGTGTAGACTTCCGCAGTAACTCACCAGAAAGTTACTCTTCAAACAACATTAATTTTGAGTGTTCTCAGTATGAGAAAGAATGAAGGACTAGGTGTGACTAAGAAAGGGTAATATGTAGTATTACTCCATAGTAACATGGAGAGAAAGCTGTCAGGTTAGGAAAGTGAATTCTTTCTAATTTCTGACTCTCAAGAGTCACTTGTTAGTCGTAAGAAACCATAAATCATCCTCAAAAATTTGGAACAAACCAGCTAATTTGCAGGGTTTGAAAATGCTGCATTGTGTACATTTGATCTGATTGAGGATCACGAAGAATGTTCTAGGAAATTAAGTTTTCAAACTTTTCTACTTATACAAATGCAAGTTAGACATGCCATGACAGAATCTAAAGGTATATACATACTTTACTATGCCTTTTGCATGTTAATAAAAAAAACAACAAGACGACTAAAAATACAAAAGAACTTGTAAACCAACTGGAAAATAAGATACATAGGAATGAGAAAAATCCTCCATATTGTACAGATCTTCATGGACTAGGCAGTCCCAAAGTCAATCATAGATTCAGTTATGTACACAAACTTAAACACAAGTGGCTGCATTTTATTACTGTATATGTTTTTTCTTTTTAATAATCTGAGACTGCCTTAGCTCCCCAATCCCATGAGCATATGGGCAAGATTCAGAAGGCAAAGAACAACCATCAGGATGATGAAGGAAAAACCAACAGAGACGGGTTTTAAATGCTTCAGCTGAAAGGCGCCGTTTCACTTCAGGCTTAGTTTTCCTTGAAGGTTTCTCTTTTCTCCAGTCACGAATATGAACTCTCCCATTTAGAACTAAGATTTAAAAACAAACAAAAATGCAGCTGTTAATAGACAGCCATGGGAATTGTACTGGAAAAGATGCATAGTGACATTCTGTGAATAAAATATATATTCTACAAATGGATCACTCAGGCAGAACCAAATGTGCCATTTGTACAGAAATAGAAAGAAGTGCACAACAAACCGAGACACAGTTTAAAGAAGAATTGATTGATCTCCCCCGTGGGATGTTTACTGTGTTGCTGAATAGTTTCAGGCACCTTTGTATCATCTTTGCAGAGATTTGTTTGTTTGTTTTATATACAGCAGTTAGGATCATTTAAACTACAATCCTGTGAATTTAGATTGGAAGTCCTGAAAAAGAAGTTTCAGCTGCAAGAACTGTAATCCTTCCCATGTTCAAAACTTTATTATCCCACATTTAAAATGTGATTACCAGCAAAAAATCTAGTAAGAGGCTTCTAGTACTTTCACTACACAAAAATGCTCTTACAAAATGGTTCACTGACCCAAAAATACACTGCAAAGAGATGACAAGTCTAATCCTTCATATGAATCAACAGTGAACTATAATTGGTTAATAAAGACTTGTTTGGTTTTTTAAAAATTCGTTTGCTGTATTAGGACCATAAACTGCACACACACATTTGTGAACCTCTGTCAACTCCTTAAACGTGTAAGCAAGAGAATAAAAGGAAGTTAGTAAGAGAGAAAGAAAAAACATAGATTAAAAGCGACAGTGTAGATGAGGAGGGAAGAATCTGCCACTTCTAAGTTGCCATGCTCTATTTCCATATTCTGCTTCAGTCATACCTTCTGTATCACACACTTGTAGGTCGGAATAGTTAACTGAGACCATTCTGCATTTGATAATAGCTATTCAAAAAGGTAATGAGACCAGTGAAAGTTTAGTATCACACATTCAGGCCTGGATGAATTCATCCCTCCAGGCTTCCTTGCGATACACAAATAGATCTGAACTCATACAAAGTCAATCCAGAAGTGGGTTCAGCAGAGCTTTAAAATATTTCTCAAAAGATGAAGAAAAATGAGCAGATATAGTGCTATTTATGATCAAGCACATTTTTTTTTCCCTAAGAAAATCAGTCCTGTATTGGACAAGACACCTGATCAAAAGAAACTGCCACAGATCAGTTATTCCAAGTCCCTTCTTTTGTGGGGATGTGCGTGTGCATCCATCTGTTTTCCATTTCTTTAAAAAAAAACAAAATGCTGCAGTAAAGATGACAGAAGAGCTGCAGCCATGTTATCCTCTGTCCTCTTTGGCATAAGCAACGTCCTTCCAGACCACTTGCTAATAAAAGTCCCTTGTTATGGTGATGTGCTACTGAAGGAAAGAACCAAGTGGTCTCTACTGAAGCCCCAGGGACCTTCCATGTGATGTAAATTACTGAGAAAAGATCTTGCCTTAATCCTAGTCTTTCTTAAGAGGTTATGTGCAGACAGCATCCATGCCAAATAAAAATCCTCATTGTTTGTAACAGGTTGTAAATCTATCCCACCTATCCCTCATGAAAGGGAATCAAATTCAGACATAATGAATGCAGCGTGACCAACTCTTTCCAACACATGGTAATTCAAAAGGATTTCAGTATGGCTTCATATTCTATAATTGCCAAGTGCACAGAAATCCTAAACTTGGCTAAATTAGTCAGTGGCTGCAACTGGGTTGCACACTCAGGGTGATTTACCATGGATTAGATGATCAGCATTCTACAGCTGATGTAGAACTGTTGGGACACAAAGTTAACACATTTTAAAATTTGACACAGCCTTAAATACTGATAAAAACTAGAAGATCTTGTATTACTGCAAAGTTAGACCTTACTTTTGTAAAACTCCACACTAACAAAAACAAAACAAAACAAAACAAATCAACGAAACAAAACCCACCACATCATTACAACAGGAAAAAAATCCCCCCAAACCTGCTATCAATAAACGCAGCCAACTACAGTTAGACCTTACTTTTGTAAAACTCCACACAGACAAAAAAAAAAAAGAAAAAAGAAAATCAACTAAACAAAACCCACCACCATATCATTCCAACAGGAAAAAAATCCCCTAAAACCAGCTCTCAATAAACCCAGCCAACTATAGAAACTTGCTACTGAGTTCCTTCTGCCATGCTTCCCCAGGCTATAGGAACACATCAACCCTCACAGTTACAGGTTTTATGACTAGCTTTATCTTGTGTGCGCATTTACACTGTGGGCCTTGACAAGGCCAGACTAACTCTCAGTTAAATGCTTTGATGAACTTGCTCTGCATGTAACAGCCTAAAATCATCAATACATTCTAGGAAAAATGAAAATTCTCTAAGTATTAGCCACTTTAAAGAGTTGTTCTAGACCAACTGTATGTAAAAAGACAACTCCTTGCTCACAGATGCCTGTCCAACCTCATTCAAAGGAGTTTTTACTAACAGTATCTTAGCGCAATGGGCACATAAGGAATATTCAGTTTTCCACAAAGGTATAGAAAAGTAGTTAAAAAATAAAAAACCTGACCACGGTAATTCTTTAGTTGAGTTTAACAGCATACAGAGGAGATAAAATGGATGATTAAAAAAAAAACCAACCAAAAAAAACCCCAACCCTCTTCTTTACCTTCAAATACTTGGTGATTGTTCTTGAGTAGTGTCTGCAGGCCTCCATATTCACTCTTTAGCCTTTGTAAAGTCTCTTTATTTAGGTGTTCTGCTACTTCTTTCAAGGAAAGGCTTTCTGCAAAAAATAATGGTGTAGCTATTCAAAATGTATATATGTAAAATCCTATGAAAATTTAACTTCTATACAAATTAATAATGATACGCTGAATCTATGACTTATCTACCAGTACTGCTGCAAATTTGTGCTCCCAGTATCATCCATATGTATTTTATATATCTGTCTGTAAAATAGCAGCTTTCATTCTACAGTCAGAATTTCTACAGCAAGACACATTTTTTTATTTTCTCTGCTTTTTTTACAGTAGCATATAACCCTCAGTGCAGTAAGCACTGTTTACATGCTTGCATTTAGACAGAAGAGAGAATGACTGGAAGGATCTCCTGTAACAGTAACACAGGACAAACTACAGTGTATAAATAATAAAAATGGACAGAGGAAAATGAAAAGATGGTACTAGTGAGAACTAACTGAATGTTTATAAAATTAACAGCAACTTCTATTCTTTTTGTTCCTAAGACTAAACTAAAAAACTCCTAATCATGTCATAACCAAATGGCACTTCAAAGCACTTCTTACAGAATTCTTGAAGAATTACAGCTAATTATTATGTGACTATCCAAAAAGAAACTTAATATAATACTCCCCAAACAGATCCAGTCTTCTGTTTTGGTAAACGGGGAGGAGTTCTGTGTTTGTTTGGTTTTGTTTTTTAAACAAAAATTGATTCTGCCCAAATATTTAAGTGTAGAG